CTAGTGATATTTTTAATCAGTTATTTGTACAAATATATTCCATATAATTAATTGGTGAGTTACGTTAGTGAATGTTAACAATTTAAAATATAATAATGATATCAATATATTTTATTATTTTCAATAGCATTTTACATTTTAAACAATTTATAACAATAATTTAAATATATAATTAAAATATATCCTTATTTTTAACAATTACTTTCAACTATTTTCAGATACTAAAATAAACAACTAAATTCTTAAAAATAATTGTTTTAAGTATTATTTGCTAAACATACACGCTTAAAAAGCTAATTTCTATGAAACACGCATATTAACTTTTTGGATATGATCAAACAACAAAAGCTTTTCAAAAAGATATTCCTCAATCACCCTTATTGTGGAACATGGTGTGAAAAATCAATATATTCCATGCACACAATAATAGTATTTTAAGAAACATACATTTGATAAATTTTATAAATTGTTTTCTCTTACTTTTGGAATCCATTACTTTCATTAATCTCCAAAAACAATTTTAAATAAATGCATCTTCAATTTTTAGATAAAAGGGATCGGAGAGGGGAACACAACGAGGTTGAGATATGCCAAATCGATTCTCCAACAATCCTAACTCATATATTTCAAAACATGCATTATAACTCAAATCCTAATTATTGAAACCTTGACTAAAGCCTTAGTTCCAATCAAAACAATATTGGATTTTGTTGGACAAGCATGACTACTGCGTAAAGGTGCAGTGGAATTATATATATTAATTAGAGTTTGATAAAAGTCGTACCTGAAGGTAACGAGTTTATTTATTGCTAACCCTCTTTTGGTCAAGTCCTTCTCACAAGGTCTTCCTAGTACGGTTTACATTTCTTGTATGATTTACAAGATATTACACAGGAATGAGATTTAACTAGTGTACGTTCTAAGGTAATGATGATTGTGAGTATTTCTCGTCACCCCGAAAAGAATTAGATAAAAGTATTGGTGCATGCATTTGGCTTGGGAGAAGAAGAGTAACATGTGATAATATAATGGTGGTGTATGCTTTTTCAATAATGACAGTAATCAATTAAAGTTTGGTGCATTATTAGGAAACATTTTTGCTTTATCACAACATAACAGACAGACATAACAGCTGTAATGGTTTATGAATGCCAAGCTGATGTTAACTTGTTTTATCCTTATAATGATTAAAGATGATATGATCTTACCAGGAAACTACTTAAGGTGAAAATATAATTAAGGTTAAAAAAAAAAAAAAGCGAAAATGGGAGAGTAATAGGTTAAAACAGTAGTAATATTGCAATCATGCAGTACTTTAATCTCATAATATAGAACACTGCACGTGTTTTTTCTTAATTATTCTTTTTTTTTTTGAAATAATTCATTTTTTATTCACAAAATACACAATAATAAAAAGAGAAAATTATAATTTAAACCCCTCACAAATATGCCAATTATCAATGTCACCTAAGAATTATTAGTGGTGTAGATATTGTCCCATATCAATTTTTAAAACATGACATATATTGCCCCTCCGACCCTCCCCTAATAGGAAAAAAGAGAAACATTATTGTCGGTGGAAGAAAAACAAACGAAGAAAGAAAAATGAATGGAGGAAAATAATGTGGTCTTCGAACAAGGAAGACGACGGGTAATAACCACATTTATACCACTAATAATTCAGGGGAGTGACAATATGTCAATATATGTCACGTTTTGAAAATTGAAATGCAACATTTACACAACTAATAATTCAAAGGTAACATTGATAATTGACATATTTGTGAGAAACATAAATTACAAATTTTCCTAATAAAAATGTTCTTTTTTTTAATGCATCAAAAAATTTAAGAAAAATGTCATTTTAATTCCTAAATTATATATGTGGATCTATAAGTTATTGGATCCGAAAAATTAGTTCTTCAATTTTCAACCAATAAGCGTTTTTGGTTGCACAAAACAACAAATATTACCTAGCTAGTACCTTTGAATATATATATATATATATATATATATATATATATATATATATATATATATATATATAAACTAGTAGTTCATATAAAGGAGGTGTAAAATCTAATTCGGTAATGCCTCCCTACCTTCCCTCCCCCTCCACCCCCCACCCCCTCTCCCTTTTTATTTATTTATTATTATTTGTAGAGTTCTCTTCCTCTTACAAAAAGTTTTAATTTGGCTGTCCCATTTTATCCCCAGCTAAAAAAGTGTGATATTTAGCATGATTCTAATTACCTTAGCTTGTTTTATCTTCCATCTTGGTTTGAATAACGCACTTTTTAGGTGGGAATGCAGTTGGTCCCCAAAAACATTTTGCATGAGGAAGAAGGTTATTAAAATGACCAAAAAGATTTTTGTTGAGTTTGGTAAATAGCTGTTAGTTGATTTGGTTAATTAATTAGAAGGTATAATTAGTTGATAATATTAATTAATTGTATAAAAATGTTTGGTAAATTAGTTGTTAGTTTGATAGTTGTTTGGTATAATTTCTTTTTTTCAAAAAGTTAATTAAAAAAGTTGCTTTGACCAACTTTTTGAATTTTAGTATTTTGGAGTTACAAAAAGTTAATTAACCAAACACTTATAATTTTTTAACCAAATCAAACAATTAGTCAAATATGCCAAAATTGACTGATAAACTAACTATATATTTTACCAAACAAAACATTTGTTAAATTAGCGTTTACACATCCTTTAAATTTGCTAGTTAACACTATTTTTTTTTTCCTCTTGGAATTAAAAACGCTACTCGAACGTAAATGGAGAGGGACTGGTTTTACATATTCAATAACATAAGAATTATTAAGGTATACCACGGATACAACTTATATACAAATCCCTATTATATCTACTTTTCTATCTTAATTTTTTACTTCTTTAAGAAAACTTGTGAATTCTTGAGTTAATAAATGCATCCAACAAAACAAGCACAAATGTTTGGCTGCAATATATTGAAGCATTTTATCAACAAACATTATTGATGCCATGAAAGCTAACAATTCGAGGATTATTGTACCTAGGATATGATGGTAAACCAATAATATCCATCCATCTGGATGATGTTCATCCTCTTCCACATACTATATGAGCCCTGCATCATATGGATTGTCATTTCGTGGTCGAATGTCTGTCACAAAGTGACACAGCAGAAGAAGACCGATGAACATCAACACCAACAACATCTGCCACTAGCAATATATGGTTACCTGAATTGGTTAGACAATTGATTTCGATAAAAAGTTATTTATTGCCTCTCTTAAGCTGAGCTTTCGTCCTTGTGATCGTTTATCGAATATAATTACAAAACAGACTTCATCCAAAACACAACTTCAAATCAGATAACAGCTACGAATTTTCTCGTAAATCAAAAGCGTTAGCAATATATACCTTGCAGTTTGCTAACTTTTATCGCTATTTATGACATAACGATTTGTCTTTAGCGATAGTTACATATGACTACTCCCAACCAAAATCCTCACATGCTCATCCACCATTGTGTCTAACGTTTATTATTGTAGGTGTGGTCATTTTTACTCGACTGGTCATCTATTGTTTGATATAATCACACAACTCATGATTGGTTTTAATTTCTTAACTTTTAACTTCATTTGGATGGAGGCATTCGAGTTCCAAAAGCTTAAGATTAATTTCTACCATTCTTTTTTTTTTTTTTTTTTTTTCATCGTCGCAATAAGTAATGGAAAATTGATATTAAGATTCGTTTTGTGTCCTGAAAGGCCTGGTTATAAGGATTATGATCAAGAAACACAACCTATCTGATTTTAATTTTGATCTTGATAACAAGTGTTGTCAAAATGGGTCAGTAAGACAGAATGACTAGCACCCTTTCTTTGAGGATCCTACCCAACCTGTATTAGATTGCGAGTTGAGAGGGTTAACCCCGCTAAGACCATCTCCAACCAACCTGTTAAAAGAAATGGCTCATGAAGACTCCAATCAATGCGGTATTGCATCAAAAATTTGGTGTTTCATGAATAGTGTAGCGCCATATATGGCTCTGCACTATTCATCTTAGGTCATTTTTGGTGCAACAACTTGACTTGTTTCCCATTTTACTCTTTTTTGTACTTGATTTTTCTTTTTTATAATTCCTTTTGTATCTTTTTTTTTAAAAAAAATATATTTACATATTTTTTTAAATATTTAAACATAAATTATATATTATTAAAAATAAATTATATCATTTGAAAGATCTCATCAAGAGAATTGGAACAAGACTAATATTGAATATAATTTAATTAAACATTAAATTATACAAAACATAATTAAAGTTGTAATTTATTAAATCACAACTATATATTATATTAAAATAATAAAAGTATAGATATAAACTTTTAATTTATGAGAATATAAATTATTTTAGTGTAGGAATAAAATTTGGTGTTAATAAGTTGGAGATAGAAAAAAATTGGTGTAAGAATATCCTACGAATATTCATTTTGGTGTAAAATTTGGTGTTTTGATTGGGAGATGACCTAATAATTTAAAGAGAATAGTAAGTCAACTAAGTTGAACAATTGACTTCAAATTTGACTTTCCGTGGAAGTGGACTCCTTAGTTTGAGCCGATCAAATATGCATAACTTAAGTTGATTTACATTCTTATGATCATTTGTCATTTAAGGTCACATAATAGGTTTCTCCTAGAGCACACATCTCGATATCGACCCTAAGTTTTCGGTAAATCAAAAGAAAAGAGTAATAACAAAAAAATATCAATTAGTACATAATCTCCATAGTGAAGTTAGGTTGTTGTAAGAAGAAAAATGTAATGGGCTTTTCTCCTCTCTCATCTTTTGGGTAATAGGCGTTGGCCCATCTAAAGTGGTGGAAGCCCAAGATATATGGGCCTCAAAATTCATAAATGTCTGAAGAATGGGCTTGAGCCCATAAAGGGCAAGGCGGACATTTCATACTGAAGAACTCCAAAACCCTACTTCTTAAGGCTTAACCACAGACCTCGTTTCTTCACTAGCTCGCTGCTCGCCCCGCAGACGAAAACCCTAGCTAGATTCTCTGCCCTCTTCTCCGTGCGAAAATGCCGCCGAAGTTCGATCCTACACAGGTCGTCGAGGTCTTCGTCCGCGTCACCGGCGGCGAAGTCGGAGCGGCTAGTTCTCTCGCCCCCAAGATCGGTCCACTCGGTCTCTCCCCCAAGAAGATCGGTGAGGACATCGCCAAGGAGACCGCCAAGGACTGGAAGGGCCTCCGCGTCACCGTCAAGCTTACGGTTCAGAATCGTCAGGCGAAGGTGTCGGTGGTCCCCTCCGCCGCCGCGCTAGTCATCAAGGCGCTCAAGGAGCCCGAGCGCGACCGCAAGAAGACTAAGAACATTAAGCACAACGGCAACATATCGCTCGATGACGTAATCGAGATCGCTAAGGTCATGAGCCCCCGCTCCATGGCCAAGGACTTGACTGGCACCGTGAAGGAGATCCTAGGAACCTGTGTATCCGTCGGGTGCACTGTAGACGGGAAGGACCCCAAGGATTTGCAGCAAGAGATCGCTGATGGAGAAGTGGAGATTCCAGAAGCCTAAGAGAAGGTGGAGTGAAAATGACGACTTTCGATATTAGGAGGTTAAAGCTTAAACTCTCTTGAAATACTAGTAATTATGTTGTGTTACGTTGTGACATTATGTTTTTGAGAATTTTAGTTTCTTCATCAAGGATAAATTTGATTGATAATATTATCTGAATGATGAGCAGCAGACTATTTAAGTTTTTTTTGGATGACATTGCCTGCTTTTTTATTTTTGTCTTATGTATGTTTCTCATGATTATATTTGTTTGTGGTATAACTATTGCCAATTTTAGTGCTTGCCCGAATCTTTGAATCAATGAAAGTTGTCTTTGCAAGGAAAAATGCATATGCTCTTATACTTTGCTTGAGTTGCAAAGACAAACTTGATCATTCTTAGTTTATACAAATTGAGTTTAGTTTGACTTACTTTGAACTAATCACTGATGGGCTGTAGTTATATTTCAAGAAGTGAGGAGGTGCAGCCCTCCTGCATTTTTCCATTTTTGCTGTGTTTGAGTGATAGAGTTACTTAATAGATCAAAGGGTTGCATGGATTGGCATTCCAGTCTGTTGCCTGTGTCTTGCTATACTGACTCATTTGTCTGTCATGTGTACATGCATATTTACTTAACAGTGCAGGTTACCTTGTTAAAGGCATTTCATTTGTTGCTCGTGTATTCTTCTATGTATTTTTGAATTAATAAAATTGGGTATATGAATTAAAATGGGGATAATTACAATATGGTTGTTCTTCATTCTTCATTTTCGGTTTTCCAATTTGGAGGAATGTATCTCTGTTTTTCATTTTTCCAGAGAATCTCTGGTTAGTAAAAAGGCATTTGTTTCCTTTTTATAAATAGTGCCTCTTCTAAGTATATATGCAAAAGTTCAGTATTTTAAAATTTTTTTTTTACATATTAATATGACAAATTGTTATTTGAATTACGAATCAAATTTGACTTGACATGAATATCTTTGATATTATAGGTTCATTTTTTAGTGTACTACCTAAAAAGAACTTATGCTTTGTTTGGTAAAGCTTATAACTTGCTACAAATGCAGCCTAAATTCTGTTCTGTAAGACATGAGGAGATTAAAATAGTAACTTATTTTGAAATGCTATCTCATTTTGCCTTTCAAAATAAGCTATTGTTTTTTTTTTTTAAATGTTTTTGTCTTTTTACACTTTAGTTTATTCAATTGCTAATTGTACCAAAATACTCTAATTTCAATTAGTTAGTTTATTTTCAGTTGTTAATTTTCAATTGCTTTTTAGATAGGTCTGCAAAACAGTGCTTTAGTACTCTGTCTTGCAATGTGGATAACACCTTTATAAGGAGATCACTGATATTTGGTTTATTTTTAGTATATTGAATGTTTATTTTTAATACATTGAATATTCATTTTTGAAGGTTTATTTTGTGTATTAAAAGTTTATGTTTATGTATATTTAAAAATGAACTTTTGCGAGTAGTATTCAAATTCTATTGTTTGGTAGGTAGAAATAGAATTATTGGAAATTAAAAGAGAATGAATAAATGATGGTTAAAATGCCCTTAATAATAATAAGGGCAAAGTTGTTGTTTGTTGTGGAATTTGTTGTGAAATTGTTCCGAGGGGCCTAGGAGTTGCAATTTTATGGTTAGAGAAAATTGTAATTTCCTCCATTTGGAGAAAATTGTAATTTCTTTCCTTCAAACAATGAAATTGTAAGTTTCATAGAATTTAGTAGAAATGAAATTGCAATTTGATCTTATCAAACACTCCATTAGTACATTAAAAATGATTATTCAATATATTAAACATGAATATTTATTCATCCACCATAAGTAAAATTTGCGTAGAATTGGGAATGGGTATGGACTTGTTGTTGTGGGCTTCTTTTGCGACTACTCTTCTCTCCTTAGGCCATTTTAATCCCTAGTCAATTGATCGCCGGGCGTTTTCTGTTTTGGCCCATAATCGAGCATAAAATGCAATAAACATATTTTTAAAAAGTGCGCGAGTGATAGGCAATTTAAGTCATTAACTTAGGTTTTCTTTAAGAAAAAAAAATTTCAGTGTCACAATCACATCATAAAAATTATAAGTTCAATCACAAAAGTACATAAATGCACAAATTCTTTTGTCCCAATCATTTATGCACATTATTATATCTATAAAGCATGAATTCATATATAGTCAGACATGAAGCTGGACTTTTATGCATTTTACACATAAACTGATGAACCAATCCCATATTCCCATATATTTGAGTATTTGACCCTTAAAAGTATACATTTAAAAAATATAGATAAAATAAAAATCCTCTAGTTTAGTTCTATACAAATTATTGGTCGGTTTTGTTTCTTAAAAATCAACACAATTTAATCTTGACCAATATTTTTTTTTTTAAAAAAAATATTTGTTTATCCTTTCAAGTTAAGATTATTAGGACAATTAATACTTAATGTTAATAAAATTTGACAAAACCAATGGAGTTTGGTCTATGGATGAGATAACGTGAGTTTCTTCCAACATAACCAGAGGTCTCGACTCCAAAGCCTTGGAAATCGGAATGTAGTTATCTTAAAATTCATGACGAGTGTTTTATCATCATTTGAGGTCCTATTCAGCACGAACATGATTAATCTCTGTGTATGGGATCCTAGTGTAACAACAATATCTAATGCTATTTGGTTAATTAAAGTGAGTTCTGATAGCGACCAACTTGTTCATTTGCTATTTAATTTTTATTAAATTAATTTTTGAAAGTGAGTAAAAATTTAATTTCTTGAAGTAATTACAGAATTTCTCAAAGTAACCATTATATATATATATATATATATATATATATATATATATATATATATATATATATATATATATATATATATTAGTGGCCAAAATGTAAATAACTGGATGGGCGGTGCATTACTCTAATGGAGTAATGGAGACTTTATGGACGGTGCCTTAACATAATAACCAATGTTATGTCATCTTGTAATACATTTTTTTTTGGAAATAAAATTTATTTTATTTTTGATAAACCTTGCAGTATATATATATATATATATATATATATATATATATATATATATATATATATATGGCTCAACTCACATGATATCAAAACTCCCCGTGAGAAGTGTGATAGACATCGATCTAGTAGATCTAATAGTTAGAATATAAAGAAAAATATGACAAAAAAATGACAATTTCATAAATATTATAAACTTTCAAAGTTTGTAATTTTAGGAAATTGACCTTACCCTTAATTTTCTCAGACGTTATGCCATGGAACCGTGTTCACCATTCATGGTGAACACGGTTCCAACGGTGTTAGTGCACCGTTATTTTTTTTTTATTTTTTTATTTTTTTAAATTAATTACGTGATTGCCTACACATTAACTTTGGAACCATGCCTACACATTCACTTTGGAACCATGAGATTATGAATTTTCTGTTATGATATTATGAATTTTCAGTTATGAGATTATGAATTTTCAGTTATGAGATTATGAATTTTCTGTTATGCGATTATGAATTTTCTGTTATGAGATTATGAATTTTCATTACATTCATAATTTCGGAGTTTCGGACATTCATAAATTATGAATTCATGTATGCACATTCACTTTGGAACCATGCCTACATATTCCCGTCCGAAATCACGGACATTCATAAATTATGAATCCATGCCTGCACATTCACTTTGGAACCATGCATACACATTCACTTTGGAACCATGAGATTATGAATTTTCTGTTATAAGATTATGAATTTTCTGTTATGAGATTATGAATTTTCAGTTGTGAGATTATGAATTTTCTGTTATGCGATTATGAATTTTCTGTTATGAGATTATGAATTTTCATAAAATTCATAATCTCATAACAGAAAATTCATAATTTAATCAGTAACGCGCCGTTAACTCCACATCCGCGATTTTTTTTTTTTTTTTTTTTTTTTTTTTTGCCTAAAAACGACGTCGTTTTGACTTGTGTTCACCATTCTCGGTGAACACGATTCCACGGCATAATTTGCGTAATTTTCTTTATCCATTGATTATTATAAATAGACAGATCAAATTAGTCTGCACTTCTCATGAAAAGTCTAAATCTCATATACAGGTCCAATGCCCAAATAGACTTAATGACAACGAGGGTCCGAAAGACATATTAGCCCTCCAACACATAGAATTAACTTGGCGAGGGTTGGAAATGTAAGATTTTCCCTAATAATATATATTATATATTATAAGGGTCAAATAGGCCATCGAACTGCACACGATAAAACAATTAGGCCACTGAACTTAAAAAATCAATAATTGGGTCCCTAAACTAATCAATTTCAAACAATTCTTCCAATTTGAAGGTTTCCAACAGGTCAACAGGTCATCCTTCCAAATTAATTATTTTTTAAAATTTAAATTTTAAAAATTAATTATTTAAATTAAAAAAAAAAAAAAAAAACTGGTTCCAGCCGGAGACGGCACCGTCTCCGGCTGGATTCCAGTTTTCTTTTTAATTTAATTTAAAAATAATTAATTTTTAAAATTTATTTTTTAAAAAAATAATTAATTTGGGAGATGACCTGTTGACCTGTTGGAAACTTTCAAATTGGAAGAATTATTTGAAATTGATTAGTTTAGGGATCTAATTGTTGGTTTTTTATGTTCAATGGCCTAATTGTTTTATTGTGTGCAGTTCGATGGCCTATTTGACCCTTATTCCTATATATTATATATTATATATTATATATTAGGGCCTTAATTAAGTGGTGCAAGTTGACTAGGCTTATTAAGTGGTCTGGTTGGACTTAATAACTAGTAGTTGTTAGTCAACCAAACTCTGTGCCTAATATAAACCTGGATTGATGGGATACAGGGTTATGGATTAGATAGCACATTCAGTTACGGTACTCAGACCGCTCAGTAGATACCAATACACCATCTAGGGTTCTGAGTCAGGTCTGAGGCAAAACATGGCTGACGGTCTACCGTTAAGAGGCAACACAACAGGAACATCAACTATGGCTGGAGATCAACACGGCTACGCTTCCGCTATCATACGAGGTCAGGTTTCTCGTATACTATGGTTCATATAGTTAGACTATTGTATATCTAACATTTGGTATTAGAGCCTTTTATAATCTCTGTCTGGTTGATTATTATGCCTAAAATCAACAATTAATTTGTTTTATATACATTGAGTTTTGGTATATATTCTG